ACAACTTAAAACTCAAAATAAAAATTGTCATATTATTAAATAACCGGTCACGACATCGATATTTACTATAAGTACAAAATATTAATCTCGAATACACATTTCATTTTTTTTATCCATTAATTCGTTAAAAGKTTTTATTAAAATCATTAATAACAAGTTTTACTAATCTTGTATTTTTCGTAATTATACTTATGCGTAATTTATAACTGTAATAATTATTCAAAATCAATAATTTATAATACTAATAATAGTATATTATGAAAAAAAAATTAATTTACTGTTCAAAGATCTTGATCAACTCTATAATTGATGTTAAAAATGTTAAACTAAATAAATTGAAAAAAGGCACAGTAGATATAACCACTTTGATGTGTCACGTGCAGTCATCGTCATTGAGTAAGTCACTGTATTATATGTATTAAATTTAAATCGAAATATGTGTCATTGTATAGGTAAGAGAAACGATTCTAATCGAAGACAGTCTATAAGCCTATATTACAAAATATATTATTATTCTATAAAATTAAAAATTAATAATACCTACAATAGTTTGGATTATTTTTTTCCAAAAAAAAGTATTTGAAAATGTTATTTAATGTTTAAGACATAATAATCAGTATCCGTAAAATTTTCAGACCCTACTAAAACTGTTATTTATATTTTTGATTTTTGGTTATAAACTATTTATAAAAAACCTTTGTACCTATTCAGATTTCAAGCATTGACTTAAATTTTATAAAAATATATTTAAAAAAACATTATACGGTTATTAATTTTTTATGATAAAATAATCGTATTACATCAATAATCGTTTTGTTAAAAATCAATTTTGCCTAGGAATTTTTAAAAGAAATGTTAATATCCAATTTTTATCTCCTGAAGTAACAACTAGATTTATTTTTCTACCAAACATTATACTTGAGATTGAATTTAAAATAATTTTTTTATTAAATATCGTGTATTCGTGTATTGGTATATACACAAAAAAATACATTTAATTATTGTAAAATCATAGTCTAAAATAAATCTAAAATTGTTCGCATTTACAAATATACAACTTCAAATTCATCATCAAACAATAGTATCTTTAAAAATATATATATATATATATATATAGATTTAAATTATTGTATGTTTGTATAAATTTTATTTTTATTTTTTAAAGTTTATCAAGGCTTCAACAACACAGGTTTTTAGCCTACATTTGAACAATGGTTAAACAAGAAAAAGAGTATATAAATGTTATWTTATATGTTTCGTTTAAATAATATATATTTTTATAAGCAAATTAAGAAACAAAATAACGCAAAATTATAGGCGCATTAATAATTTATTATTTCTATAGTAATCTGGTAATTATTCTACTCGTACTTATAATAAAGTTGTATAATTTATTTTAAATTGTATSAAATAAAACACATCACCAAAATGTACTTGGAGGAGATTCCTATATCCTATTATCTATATGTAGTATCTACATCACATTTAAGTTTTGTAATTATTTCCATAGACGAAATTTATATATAAGGTACAAAAAGGGTATAAAATATACTTATTATTACTTTAGTAGTATTTAAAAAGTCATATATATAATATATATAATAATAAATTACTTACAATTATTCAAACTGCTTAGAATTATTAAAATTCCTACGACTAGTAACTGAAACTTAAA